CTACCCAGCTGTGAAACGAACAGATCCTCTCGTCGTGTGCCAGAATTGCTCCAATACTTTACGTCAATATGAATCCATTAACAGCAATAGTGTCATGGGCTTTGAAGAAGATGGTGTAGCACAGATGATGCTAAGAGACTAATTCTCACAATGATTTTATTAACCCTGAAGAAGTATGAAAAAAGAGCACTGGGCTTGGTTTCCCAGGACTCTGATTTCTCAGGGCTGGCAGTTGAAACCAACAACGCAAATGTTCTGTTCTGCAAAGTAAGTGATTGTATTAGATATGAAAATGCTCCAAAAAAAATCAATAAACTCTGAACTTTCCAATGGCATTTTTATTTCAACATTTAGAAGACTGGATACATTAAAGATATGATTTATTTGAATTTTGGAAAGTTGCTGAAAACTAAAACACAGAACAATCAATTCTCCCTAAGTATATAAGATACATATGGGACTACTCCCAAAATAAAACTATGTGCATAAGTTACAACAGAACTGAAAGGACTTCACTGGCTTCGGTAGTTTGAGTTCACTCATTCAAAGTCAAATAGATTATCCAGAGAAGGTAAGAAAAGCACTTCACAAAATTCCACATCCACAAATTTAAAGAAACCATTGAACTGTTTAAAAAACACTAAAGAAGCTATTATCTAAAGAAAAGGAGTGTTGGGGGACACATGTATCTTCTACTGCAAAACGGAAGAAAGGCCAAAGCTCAGCAGTATGATGCAATGATATTGTGTTCCAGAGAATCTAGTTTTCTCAGGGAATACAAGTAGGGCCTGTTAGGAGCTACCAAAGCTGGTAGCAAAGAGCAGATGAGGCTGCCACAGCCCCACATTCAGCCTATAGTGAGGCTGAGCACAAATTCCCAACAAGCACATGTGTATAAACACACCCCAGACATACACACATCCAGCAGCAAAGATCAACACAGACAGAAAACACAGTGGTCTCACACTCCCAAGCAGCACCAATGGTCTGATCCTCTTCCCCTCTCTGGCTGATGAGGATGAAAGGCTGTTAGTAGGAAAAATACACAAACAAACATATATGTAAGCATATACATATATAAATAAAGAAAAACAATAAGGACCTCTCCAGTTTCTGGTTTTAGACATGGTCTCCAGTTGCTGACACCAAAGAAAACAGCTATAAATGGAGTTTAGTGAGAAGACAGGAGAGACTATATTTTTCAGGCATGAGGCATGGACAGACAGACACCTGAACTGACCATCTCCTGCTCACATGTGGTTGACCGGTGAAACAGGAGGCCAGGCCCAAAAGAGTTCACTAAGAGATTTGGGCCTGCTAACAAGCTACTAACATCCAAAACGATCTGTGCTTGTTCTGTTCTACTTACTGGACCAAAACTAAAGAGAATGGTAAAAGAACATATAATAGGCCTAGAGGTAATAAATTAAGATGCAGTAGGGTAAGGTAGACATTTGAATAGAAGAAACAGGCTAGGAGCCAAGGCTTTTTCCAAGCTTCAGTGAGCGGGCTGAGAACAACAGAAAAGAAGAGAGGTCAAGCTGAGGAAGATGAGATTAAGCCCCCAGACCCAGGGAGGAAGAACAGAACTGCCCCCAACATTGAGGGCCAAGAGAAGTACCGCCCCAAGCCCCGCCTGAGCTCCACCTATACTCCGCCTGTTATTAATATGTATAGATAGATGTTGTAATCACTTGAATATGCATTTAATCATATTCGAAAATTGTATAAAAACTGCTGATTTTGTGTGAAGCTTTTGAACAAGTTTTTCCAGCAATAGCTGGCTTGCTCCCAGCACTGTCAATAAATACCTTTGCTGCTCAAAAACCAAAAGCCTCTGGGCAGTTCAATATTCTGGATTTTTCGGATTCACTGGCCCCTTTTATCTCTACATTCATATAATCATAAATTATGTTTTTCCCAATACGCTTTGATTTCTGACTTTTTCCACCTTTGATTCCTATCCAAAATGTTCATTGCAAGTCCTGTAGAAACCCAAAATACACTACCCATATGTCCCCCAGGGTGTGCCCATCCCCTGTAAGTAGTACAGCTCTCAGTTCATGAGGTGATCCTGAGAGTCTCCGCAGTCAACCCATTTGATGGTTTTCTCACCTGGACCATGGGCTGATTTCTGTCCTGTGAAAGCCCTGGAAGCAGCCAGGTCAGGGGCTCCACTTCTCTGTTGAGGTTATTGGGATTACCCCATTCCTTTTGTATTGACGGAGACTGGCCTTCAGCCACACCACTGGCCCCTCTTCCCTTTCCTTGCTGTTCTACAAGATGGGCTCCTCAATCACTTGGTGCAACCTGTGAAATTCATTCCTTTGAGATAAACCCTTAATAAGGTCTTACTTGTAAGAATGTAAACCAAGGTAAACTTATCTAAAGTGGGGTTCATCCACTCATGATTATGCCTCTGTGCTCCTTTGTGTCTCTGGAGATGAGCACTTTGCCATTTAACCTTGTAGATTCTTCTTCTGTAATTTGAGAGACATCTCCTTTTGCATGCACTGAAACTTCTGCTGAACTCAGACTGAAGGTCTATTTAGATGCTACTTTCACCCCAGCTATTATCTGCAAGGGGTGAATCTATGGAATTGTAAATTGACATAAATTCTTAATTGTTAATAAAAGCATTTTAGGAAAAACAAATTAAATTAAGAAAATTACCACTACCAGATGCTACTCATCTAAATGTTCTAGGAGAACTTGAGGATCAAACCACTGAGTTACTAGTGATTATAAACTAATATTTAAACTGGTCTCAGTACATATGTCCAGGGGTGTAGTCAGCTCACAGACCTATAATACTAATCAATACCATGCTGGAGTCTGGAGGGTAACTCAGCTAACTTTGGGCAAGATTCAGACTTCTCATGCCATGTTAAGATGGTCCAGGATAACCAAGACATCTGTACAAGACCTGTAGATAACACAAAAAACCATGGAGAACCAAAACTTTGCTGTGGTTTCTCCTGTGGACAGCATGTGAAAAATGAACTTTAACAGATGTTAGCTACATCGCTTAGTTTTCTACCAGAGGATACTTTGACACTTGAGAAACCCATAAGGAGCAGAAATACCGATTATTCCATACAGAACAGAATAAATTAAAGCAGAAGAATGGGAGGTCTGACAAGGCTTATAATACATTCCAGCAATTATAGAATGGTAGTGATATTTACTGCTTCTCCAGATCATCTGGAAACATTTTAATATAAAATGAATAAAATAATCACTTTTCCACTATGCCTTTCTTACCTCCGACTCTACCTAAAATGAACTGAGTGGAATCCTTCAAGGTTTTCATCAACTAATCTCATTCCTCACTTCCAGTTGATAGTTTTCCAAGTTACACTTTCCCACATCTATCAACATGTTGACACAGCACTCCATACTTACAGATAAGGCCAACTCCAAAGCAAATATGTGAGGGCTTGTCCAATTTTTTAAAAAAAGGACTGATATTTCTTTGTGGTTTTCCAAATAGGAACAGGAATTTCAGTGGGGACACCTGCATCCCTTTTTACATTTTACAATGTAAATTGTAGATTGTAAATTTTACAATGTTAACTTATTTACTAAAGCACCTCTAAAAAGATAAAGTTAGGCAGAAGCCTAACTTCAACTGTGCTCTCATGAAAAACCTTGGAGTGGAGGTGGGATTTTTCATGAATGCTTATGTGACTTTGAGATGAGATTTATTATCAATGAAAAGTCAGCTCTAGAGCTTGTCTGACAGTCTCAAGTCACTCACTTGCCAGTCCATGGATAACTTCAAAGGCAAATTCTGCATTAGGACACCTACTTCTTCTAGTGACGCAGTACTGGCGACAGGCAGGATAACAGTGAGTTTGCATGGTAATTTGTAGTCTTTATTGATACAGAAGATTTAAGTTTTACAGAACATTAGGCAAACCCACCCTCTTACTTGCCCAGTACTTGAGGATGAACAGTTACAGACAAGAAAATGATCCAGTTACTTGTAGTGCAGCTAATTATTAAATTACATTAAAACTGTATTAACAATATGATATTGTAAAATATAAGTTCATGTACAGTATATAAATACAATAGCTTTCTGTTCCTTGTCAGGAACATAAGCCAATCACATACATTTTTCAGTTTAATTTAGCTTGTGCTAAAGTACATTTCCATCTTAAATATATATTAATGTAAACCATACCTATGAAATCTCTCAATTTCACTCCCTGCCTCTTAACTTGCAGCTATTACTACAGTACTATAAAAGCTGAATGAACACTCTTATTCAGAAGAGGTGTTTCTGTCAGAATTTCCTATCTTTTAAATCTTTGGCAATGCTTCACAGGACAGTCTCATTAGTCAGACTTAGTTTTTTACAACGTAACATTTTAATCTTATCCAAAGCAAGATACTCTGAAGCCTGACTCCTTCTATTTGAAAGAGCGGGCTATGCAAATGCATTGTATGAGTGTTAAAATAACAAAATCCTACACTGTAGGAGAAAATTGACATTGTGCAAAATATCTTAATAAACATTTTCAAGATTCAAATGACACAACATTGTTAGACGTGGCAACACTGGCCCACTGCATACTTCATATGACACTACTTCATACCTGGTCAGTCAGTGGCAACACACTTGTCTGAAAATCTGTGCCCCGACAGGTTGCACTGCTGTCAGACATGGCAGTAAGATGTGTATGGCTTTGTATTTGGGCCAGGTTATCCGAAGTCTGATGGTTAAGTTTAGACCCCTCAAATCTATCAAGCTTCTAAAGAAGTTACAGCCTTTCAAAAAGATATGGTACTTTCACTGGGCACCAAGGCCACCTCTTTAAGTTGCAGGTACCCAGGTCAGCAAATCTTCATTGATAGTACCATGGCAGTATTCACTTGCACCTGCCAAATTCATCAGCCAACTCTGAACTGCTCAAGTCCTTCTGCACCCTGGTAGAAGCACTTTCTCAGAGCTGCTCACTACAACACAATCGATGCAGAACAAACAACGTGAATGGATTCGAAAGTCCTTTATTCTCCAAACACATAAGGAGAAAGATGAAAAACTCGCAGGAAAAATAACTTGTGTTTAAATCCTCTCAGTCTACTAGAAATGTTCCATGTACAAGTATTTAATGTCAAGTAAAATATGCTGCACAGAAATATATTATCGGCGTGTAGTGTATGGTTTTGGTAAACAACAGATTCATTATGAAACTGATGGAAATACTTAGATTCAAAGTCTTTCAAAACAGCTTGAAGACTAAAAACCCTTTAAGATGAAAAGCTGAAGTTACCTTTTGTGTCTGCTAACTACCTGTATTTGCTCCTCTGTGGCACTTTCATAAGAAAGGCTGACTCTATGGTATCACACCTGCAGAGACTCCTCCTTTTAAAGTGCCTGCCAAGTATTTAACTTTGTCCATGCTAAAATGAAAATCAGAGCGTTACTCAAAACTATTGCTTGAACAAATACATGCAGTTTAAACTACATGCTATAATGAATCCCTATCAGAAATGCCCTCATCAACACGGAGATGAAAGTGCTCATTACAGTCACCAGATGGTAGATGACAAGGGAAATATTCTGAAAAGAAAATATAAATATAGATATATTTACTAGTATATTACTCTAGCACTGTAATGCCAAATGGTAGATTACCAAATGGTAGATTTCTGAGGAATATACTAAAGCAAGCAAAATATTACATATATTTCTATCTTAATTTGTATGACTACATTGGAGAGGTTTTGGCATACCATATTTCTTGGAGGAATGTTATAATTAAAAATAACTTTCTTCAGAACAGAAATGAGTATGATAAATAGTTCTATTATTGTACAAAATACAGGTGGTTTTAGAAAACAAGACCAAAAATAGAGCTTCAACATTTGGAGGGAAAGTCATCTATGAAGTGTGAGACAGAAAGTCAAATATGAACCCTGAAAATCCGGATTGCACCTGGGGACTCAGCACACAGGCTTGATAACAAAACTAATTTCTGCCCATTTACCAACTTATCAACATGTTCTTTTTTTCTTCTAAAATAGACAAAAGAAGTAAAAATATATAAAGGGCATGTTAGATACTATTTAAGGCAGAACATAAGAATGTAAAGCCAATTATTATATGTTCCAACAGAAATAAAGATATGCAGTCTACAGACTTCTAGCAATAGGTAACAAAAAATACAATATTTTATACATTTGTATAGTTGAAATCAAGGATAAAGAAATGGTGTAAAAAATGGGTCAGGATAACAGTTACCAAAAAATGTACAAAAATAAACTGTTTATCATCTGTGGTGTTGAATGTTTTTGCATCATGAAACTAATATTGCTCTGATAAACAACATCCTGCAGCTTTTCATTAAGAGTCCAGAAGGGATATATAATTATTTTCTAAAAAAATAATGTATTTTCACATGTATACCCTACATCTCTAACAAACTACCTCTCTACACAGTACCAGTAGTTGAAAGCAGGTCCTGAGTCAAGAATTTCTTGTTAAGGAACAAAATAGCTCACAGTTCCTCGTTATTACTTTAAACCAACCACCAAGTTTGTAGCATTTAAATCTGTAGGGAAGCTCTCTGTTGCGTTAGCTAGAACTGCGGATGCGGGATAAATGATTTCTTCAACCGTCACATATGTCCCTGTTAAAAATCCAACAAATCCAATAACAGCTATAAAAACATCCTTAAATACCGTCCATAAACTTAAGTTTTCCTTGTAGAAAGTGAGGATTTCAACCAGAGGTGGCAGAATCAGTCCCAGAGTGCTGCTGCTGACGGCTCCAACGAAAGAAATCACCAGGTCTAGGCGAGGGATCAGAACTGCTACAGCACCTAAAACATAAGAAGAGAAACATTGGCTTTAGATTCAATATCCTCATGAAAAACAAAACTGCAAAATATACATAGTCTAGTGGTTCAGGCTTTTTACAGAGCTCTATCATTCACTGTTTTTTCCAGCTCCAAGTGGTATGCACAATATAGATTAATGCCTGTATTTGTCAGTAAGCCTCACCCCGATGCTCATCTGAGATATTCGGTTTCAATTTTGAATTTCTGCATGAGCTGGCAGAGCTTCAAGTTAAAGTGTTCTTGTACTTACAGGGTAAGTAGATTTGGCCTGCAAATAAGAGAGAAATGAGCAATATGAAATTGTATGGAGATGTTTTCCATTTTTGGTGGTTGATTGGTTCATAAGATGAAAGAATAAAAGTTGAGGAAGATGAAGGGAAAGGGCTGTTGCAGGCTGCCTAGGAGACAGTGGACAAAAAAATACTACCATCAACTAATAAATACAACTGAAAATCTAAAAGTGACATAAAATTATTCAAAATTAACAAAACCTGCTTGTGACTTGGCAGTCACAGTCATTTAAATCACTTTTCCCTACAAACTTGCCTCTGGAAAAATCTTGGTTTATACAATTGCATTTAATTTGTAAAATGTTGCTGTAATAGTTGCCCACATGAGGTGAGAAAGACATCAAGTCCATGCCGAGAATACAAGAAAGTGGTACGCTACCATCGACATTGCCAACGCATTTTTCTCCATTCCCTTAGCGGCGGAGTGCAGGCCACAGTTTGCTTTCACATGGAGGGGTGTTCAATACACCTGGAATTGACTGCCCCAGGGGTGGAAGCACAGTCCAACCATCTGCCATGGACTGATTCAGGCCACACTAGAGAAGGGTAAGGCTCCCGAACACATCCAGTACATCGATGACAATAAATGAGAACTTGGCTCTGCCAAGAGGAGTCTGAACACAAGACCAACACAGCCTTTTAAGCATGGCCAGTCTCACTTACTGAACCTACAACATTTATAGAAACAGAATCCATCATGTTGGACCAGAAACTTCTGGTTTTAACCCCTTTGGCTGGCAAGCCTCAGCAAGTACCCTAGTATTAACTCAGATACACCAGTTGTCTGTCATGTAATGTTTTCAGTCCTGTATTAGAAAACAGCTTTCAAAGGCCTCTATATGACCCCTGTATGTGGTGGAAATGTCCTTTTTCCCTTCCATGAATATATAGCTTTGTAGCTATCAGACATTAGTGTAAACATGCACAGCACTGGCCTGCTTGCCACTTTCTGTCACTTCTTATCAGAAGAAGCAATCAGGAAGAAAGGGAATGGGGAAAACAAGTGTAAAAGCCACTAGCACATAAAAAATACAACATAATATGTTTTGGTTCTTCCATACCTCTTCTCTTAACTCTTAAGCCATAATAAAAGCATGTTTGGCTTTAGAAAAACTTTACCAATCAAATACAATGTAGACAGTGTTTATGGTAATAATAATAATAATAATGGGCAGTCTTCGCGAACGAAGATTTGGGGAAAGGTCTTTTTACCTTTCGAGCCTGCGCAATGGATTTTTTAGGTGAGACACAGCCTGCGCTGAACTGAGCCCACCCTTTAATCCTAAGGTTCATCTGCCGGGGCCAAGCAAGCTTGGACAATGGCAGTGAGGTCCTCAGGACGTAGGTTTGTTTAGAGTGACCTTCTCATAGATGGATGGCCTCACAGGGCTAACGGGTTCCATCTGCCCGGGGGACTGGCTGGATTCGAACCTGGGTCGCAGAGGTGAGAGTCCTGCATGCTAACCACTAGGCCACCAGGGGTCCCCTTATGGTAATAAACAAATCACAGAATCATACAATCACAGAATATGCTGAGTTGGAAGGGACCCATAAAGACCATTGAGTCCAACTCTTAACCCTGCACAGGACCATCCCCAAGAGTCACACTATGTGCCTGAGAGTCTCATGCAAATGCTTCTTGAATTCTCTCAGGCTTGGTACTCTGGGGAGCCTGTTCCAGTGCCCAACCACCCTCTGAGTGAAGAACCTTTTTCTAATACCCAACCTAATCCTCTCCTGACACAACTTCAGGCCATTCCCTCGGGTTTTGTCACTGGTCACCACAGAGAAGAGATCAGTGTCTGCCCCTCCTCTTCCCCTCATGAGGAAGTTGTAGACTGCAATGGAGACTCCCCTCAGTCTCCTCTTCTCCAGGCTGAGCAGACCAAGTGACCTCAGCCGCTCCTCATATGGCTTCCCCTCAAGGCTCGTCACCATCTTCGTTGCCCTTCTTTGGACACTCTGTAATAGCTTATGGAACAAGGAGGGAGGAGATCCCCACATGACATATGAGGATCAAAAACACAAGGTGTGAATCAGCTTTATAATCAATAAAACCATGCTTTCTACTTGCAGAGCATCTTTGCTGTGGGCTGAATGCCACCAGCTGCCTCAAATTCTGACATAACGTTGATTATGAAAGGCAAACATACTCAACTGATGTTTGTGTTGACCTTCTCCATTGAGAATATCTAACCTGGGGAAACTGCATTGGAAAAAAACACTCAAAATTCACTTACAGAACACAACAGGTATCCACTGCTACCAGCTAATTGTTTGTTATACATTTTAATAAAACTTGTAACTACAGAGATCTCACATAAAAAGGAGGTAAGACTAACGGTACAAGCCTGCAGAGGGATAAAGGATTCTCCAGCCCATCCTATTTGAAAGGAACATAGACGGCACAGATCTGCCAAGAAAAATCAATTAACTGGTTTCTACTTGTCATGACTATAGTTTAGTAACACTTTGTGATTCTACAGAGACATGAGAGACACCACTTGGCCACAGGAAGCTTGGGTAGAGACAAAGGTGGAAACCTTAAAAACACCCTGACACTCAAAAATAGGCAAGACAATGTTTCTTTATCTCAGTGCTAGGATGGACCTACTCCATGCCAACCAATTTCTTCCATTTCTTGATATAACATTTAAAGACTGGAAATGTCATATGTTTATGCATTATCCAGCACAGAGCTTAATGAAATGAGAAAGGAATTATGCCAAAGTTAGTAAAAGTCACAAAGTACCCACCTCTGTAACTTTTGCAGCCATAACCCTGTTCAAGCCACAAAAGTAAATGCCACGAATGCCTAAACCATACAGGATGAGCGCCCAGACCAGACTGGCAACATGATACTTGCACCATCAAACACGGTCCAAAAGTAACTGAAAAGTGTAGCTGAAGTATATTTACAATGTCTCATAAAACTCTCAGCTAATTACTATGTTATTGATATGAACAATGTGTTGTTCAGCAGTAAAAGAGAGGGCTGCACAATTATTATCTTGCCAATTCAATAGATGTGGTGGGTGTATTCATTTAATACAGATTTTCAACTTCTGTTATAGGCCTTTCAGTTCCACGTGTCCAGAGTTTAAAAGGCACTCATTAATTTATAGTTCATAGTTTTGATTGAAACACTCTGCTTTATTAAAATAATGAGAGTATGTTTCATATTTTTTAATTGGAAAAAAACCCCAACTGTAGTTTATAGTTGCTTTAGGTTACAGAAAAACAAAATGCTGTGTGTTGGTTGGAATCTCATCAAGCACTTGTCTGACTCATACGAATTTGTATGGATCTGGATACTGCTGTGGGAGGAAGTTTGGAAATTTGTTTCAAGATTTTAATTAGTGTCTTATTTATTCTCTAATAATTGAAGAGAAATACAACTCATGTTTATTACCTACCAAAGAATGTACCCAAGAGTTAAGAAAGGGGTCCATTTTCCAGAAGAAGTAAACAAGGGGCATTCTTACAGGTATGGAGCCTGATTTTCCCAGCCATGTGTAGGTTTTAAAAATACAATGCTAAGAAGAAATTCTGAATTTGTACCAATATCTGCAAATTTGCTAATGGTACACTCAATCCCTTCATCCAGATCATCAATAAAGATATTAAACAGAACTGGGCCTAGCACTGATCCCTGGGGGTCACCACTAAAGACTGCCTGCCATCTGGATGCAGCACCGTTCACCACCACTCTCTGTGGGCCTGGCCCTCCAGCCAGTTCCTAACCCAGCACAGAGTGCCCCTGTCCAAGCCATGGGCTGCCAGTTTTTTCAGGAGAATGCGATGGGAGATGGTGTCAAAGGCTTTGCTTAAGTCCAGGTAGACACATCCACAGCCTTCCCCTCATCCACCAGGCGGGTCACCTGGTCATAAAAGGAGACCAGGTTGGTCAGGTAGGACCTGCCCTTCCTAAACCTGTGTTGGCTGGGTCTGGTCCCTTGTCCATCCTGTAAGTGCTGTGCAATTGCACTTAGGATGATCTGCTCCATGACCTTGCCAGGCACTGAGGTCAGGCTGACAGGTGTGTGGTTTCCCAGGTCCTCCTTGCAGCCCTTTTTGTGGATCAGCATGACATTCGCCAGCTTCCAATCATCTGGGACCCCCCCAGTGAGCCAGGACTGTTGGTAAATGATAAATTAATAAGACACCTTTTTTTTGATCACCATTTAAATTGTCCTTAGGCTTGAATAAAAGCATGAGGGCCAGATGAACAAAGCAACCAGCAGAAATAACGAGAGATAGCATCCTAGTGCTTCTATCTTAAACTCTGCAGTCTAATCTCAGAAACTACTACTAATGAATTCTCCAGCCTCTCTCAGTTACGTAGTCACTTACTTGTGTCAGCTGAGGCTTTTTGGTGGGAGGAATACTGTAGTAAAATTATTCTATTTTCTGAAGGGACATAACACCCCAGTGGAAAGATGCCCTTAATTTTACTTGGTTTATTTTGTAGTGCTGTTTCTTTTACAACTTTTTCTCCTCATTACAGAATCAGGAGACTACTTGCTGGACTTGCTTGCTGGGAGGTTAATTCCAATGAGATTGCTGGGGGCAAAAAATGTTTTGCCATCTTCACCCAACCTAAGTGCATTACAGCTGCAGATGAAGTCAAACACGTGATTACCATATTCCAATACTTCCTCCAGTAATCAAATATTGAGCTACTTTATTTCT